TACTTCTACAAGAAACAGGATGGAAGGGTAGGATGTCCAGAGGTCCAGAAGTATGGAGGACAGGAGGACAGGATGTCCAAGGGTTAGGAGGACAGGACATCTGAAGGTATGGAGGGCAGAACGTTTGAAGGACAGGACACCCAGAGGTGCACAGGACAGGATGTCCGGAGGTCCAGAAGGAATAGGGGCTACATCAGACAAAGTCCAATATAGAAGCAAACAGAGTAGACTACCCTTAGGTAGAGTCAGAGAGACAGGAAGTGGACCAAAGTCTGGAGAGAGGGTAAGTGCTGGAAAGGCAAGACTCCAGTCTAGGGAAGCAATCCCTAGACTTGGGACAGAGACATAGGGGACAAATCCAAAGGTCCAGAATTCTGGCCTAGGGAATCCTTCCCTAGGCCTTACAGAAAAGGACAAGACTCAGACAGACTGAAGTCCAGAAGATAATTGGGCAGATCTAAGGTGATATTCAGACTGAGGACTCTACTGTAGTTGTACAGGGGTTATATACTAGAGGCTATCCAAGAGGATCAGTAAGCAAAGGAGTAAGGCTATGTATGAGCATGTGGAAACACATTGGTAAGTAAGATAGAACATAAGTAAATGAACTCAGAGATGAAACTAGTACAAGGATCAATCAGCAAGATGGAAACAGAGATAACTGAGAACTGGAAAGGCAGAGATGCCTAAATGGGGATAGGCGCAGGATCTCGGATGGAGGGTGGGAATAGGTCCAGAGATAGTACAGTTAATATCCAGAGGTCTGGAGATCTGGGGATCCGGAAGGCAGGGTGGAAACAGGACTGAGATATGTGAGGTGGTGGATGTAGTCCAGAATCTGAGAGGAGATAAAGTCTGGATGTCTTGCTGGACAGAATGTGCATAGGGTGGACAGGATAGGGGATCCAGGAATGAGTCAGATATGGGATCCGGAAATAGGTCCAGAAAGCGTGGGAATATGATGGGATCTATGTCTGGCATACAGGATATGACAATGCCCCTATTCATTTCTCCTTTTCCCTTACCTTGTATTACATCATGGGCCACATGATGCTGCTGCCAGACTTATCTCATTTCTCATATCTTGTATTACATCACAATCACTGTTGCCATTGCTAGATGACCTATTCCTGTTATCACTGACACATCCTTTCTATTCTTGTTATTGCTGATGCATCCTTTCTTATCTCTTATCTCTGACTCATCATCGATCTCACACCTGCCCTAAGCACACCTACAATTCATTATATATAGTCGATGATATATCTAGTAGCTCTTCACTTTAATCTACTAGGTTTTCACCTGAACATTCCTTCACTTAGGACCTCCAATCCTAAGTCATCTGAATCGATATTCAAGCTGAAGACACTCTCTTCATCTTGTCTTACGACCCTTGCTTTTGCAAGGTCTTGACTTAACTTCAGCCATTGCTCTTATTGAGCTGCTGTTGTTATGACTATCCTAATTCATAACACAAGACACTGGCATCATGGTTCACCCAGACCCAATTTCAAGCAACGGGCATGTCCTCCCAACACCATTGATATACTATGGTGGCAATTTGTCTGGTAGGCTGGTGATAGTAAGTAGACTACCAAAATTCTCCTTTCTTGCAAGACACTGGCATCACGGTTCATCCAGACCCAATTTCAGGCAATGGGCATGTCCTCCCAATGCCATCAATATACTATGGTGGCAATTCATCTGGTAGGCTGGTAGTACATAAGCGTGTTGTAAGCAGTCAGCTTACAGAAGTTGGCACATTGATATGTCTACCAATCCAAATTGTGTCATGACTAGTGTCCCGTAAATCTGGTCTGAGGCCAGATTAACAGGGCTAATTAGCAGAGGCTATCTGAGAGGTCAAATTAACCTATGTAAATTAGCATAAATTTGCAAGTCTGCTGATTAGCACTAATTTACTTGTAAATTTGATGAATTTAACTGTTAATTAGGGTAAATGTGGTTCTACGGCCATACATCCCAGGCTGTTGCATCAGGAAGTGCCTCTAACGACGATGACGACACAACAATGGACGATGTTGTTAACACCTTGGCATGGGAATTCACATTTTGGGGTGTTTCATCCAGGAAGTCCCGGAGATAGGGAGAGCGCAACTCAATATCTGCATTTGCCCCTCCAAGCAAGTATGAGCCATCAACCTTTTCAAACTCACTCAGCAGTCCTCGCTCATCATTCAGCCACTCAGCACCATCATCAGGAAATCTGGGATCACCAGCATCATTGGGTGGATTGGAGTTGAAGGGTCTTGGTTGAGGTGGATGGCGTCCAGGGAGCGGAAGGTCTTCAGCCATATCCATATCTGATGCTGTGTGCTTGCGGAAAATAGTTTCATTCATGTCTTGCCATCAAACAAGCATTTTTTGGCAGGATTTGCATTCTGCATAGTACGAGTGTGATTCACTGATTTGAGGTTGAGGTGCTAGCTAGAAACACATACCTCAGGTTTATAACGATGCCACTGTCGAATTTTGATATGGTTTTGCAGTGTTTCGAGATTTTGATTAGCACGACGAGGAGAGTTCAACCATGTGATGGTTGACATGGTGCGTTCGTCTGCCATAGAAATAGGAACTGCAGAGAACATTTTGATTGCGATAATCTATGCCACAACGGATATAGTCAGCGATAAAAGAACAATGGGAACATACTCACCGGAAGTACATCTGCAAATTCATCTCCTGATTTCAGGAGTGCTAGCCAGTAATCCCGTGGGCTCTCATTTGAGCGCATCTTGCGGTTGAATGGATCTTCAGCGCGGAAATAAGCCTTCATACTATGCATTCCCCCGTTCCGTGCGGGATATCATCACCTTATAATGCATGTCCGGCAGCCGATTAGGTGCGCCACATAGTAATGAATCATCATATCCTGAATATTGATAGCCTCAAGTACCAGCGCAGGAGCCATCGCATCGTCACTGTCACCATCGATATCATTCCTCCTTAAGACAATGTCGTTACCTGACAATTCCACTGTGCTTATTGTTGGCGCAGGCCCCGCTGGTCTCACGGCTGCTCTTTCTCTCATCCACCACGGGTGTCGTGACTTCGTCATCGTCGATGCTATAGTCGAAGGACAGAACGTATCACGCGCCATTACTATACACTCTGCAACCGTCGAGGTACGCTGCCACTGGGCGTTCATAAGTAGCCCCCCCCCTAATAACTTTATGATCATAGGCTTTAGCCAGCATCAATGCAGCAGATGTATTATTATCTAGAGCTATCAAAGGGAAGAGCATCAGAATCACATCCCGTGATTCGCAGATTTTTGAGGCCAAATTCGACCCTCTCAAGAAACATTCTGCCTACCCTTACGCACTCTTCGTTCCTCAAAATGTGACCGAGCTCGTGCTTGTGCAGAAGCTGCAAACCCTTGGTGTTCGAGTGCAGCGTCCACGCAGGGTTATTGGAATGAAACAGAATGAGCAGGATCCTCACACCACCGACGTCTCCTTTGAGGATGGTCAAGTCATCAGAGCTAGATATATCATCGGCGCAGATGGCGCTCGCTCGATTGTGAGTCCCTGGTGCCTACTAGCTTAGCTTTTTGGAATGTCTAACGAGCACCTTTAGATTCGTACTATTTCTGGAATAGGGTTCTCTGACCCAGACGGCCCAAACCCAAACAATCACCTATTGGCTCAAATGGTTGTCGCGGATGTCACATTCGAGCCCGAACCTGTTGGTCCACTAACCATCGAGGGTCACCTCAATGGCACAGTTTCCTCAGGCACCATCTTTATGCTCACACCATTCGGCAACCACTTCAATGACGAGCTGACGCGAGATGGAAAGTCTATTACAAAACCCATATTTCGCGTAGCTTGTGCTGTGCCAGTGGAGAACGGAGAGCCGCCCCACGCACCGCCGAAGGAGTACATCCAGGACTTGGCCGACACATATGGTCCAGCATGTATATCATCGGTCCTATCCCTTAATCCGACGCCTGTCAAGATCGACCAGCTGATCTGGTCGACACGTTTCAGAACCCATTCAGCCATCGCTGACCGCACCTTCACGCGTCTTGGCGCCGCAATTTTCCTAGTGGGTGACGCAGCCCATATTCATTCACCCGCGGGCGGCCAGGGCATGAACCTAGCCATTAGGGATGCAATCTTTCTCTCGGAGGTCATCACAAAGCATATTCAAGCATCTGCAGAAAACCCCGATGTGGGTGATACTCTTTTGCAGGAATTTGCGGAAGCGCGTCACGCTCGAGCATTGGAAACTATCAGCTTTACAAAGAATCTCTTGAAGCTCGCAAGCCTGACGTACGATCCATATGCTTGGTGGATGCCGTTCAGTCGGGCCTCTGTCCGTGATCTGATGCTACGGATATTAGGCAGGTTTGATTTCGTGCAGTCGAGGGTTGCATGGGGCCTGAGTGGGCTTGGAAGACGGTAATAGCGTACTTTGTTTCTGTCTATTTTGTACGAGTATCGGACAATCTGCTCATGAGATTCGGACGTTGTGGTGAGTTGTACTATTGTAGAGAATGGAACATATGCGTTACAATACGTTGCTTCGCGTTGGCGAGTAAGACATCAAGAGCCAGTAGTTAAAGTTGTTTGCGTATGCTGGTCGGTACCACTATTCCTAGCTGAGTAGTACTAAGGGGCTGTCTATATGTTATTCAAACATGCCACCTCATCATGACACGCGCGAATCCTCCCCGGTTGAAACATGAAGGATTAGTGTGTACAACTTGGCGGCAATCGAAGCAAATCCTACTAGCTTCTCCAAGAAATCCTACACGGTAGTACTGAACTTGTCGATTCCAGTCGACGATTACCCTCGGGGTGAGGGAGGGGTAGTTTTACTATTCTGCTTGGGCAGAGGTAGGTCGGCTGGAGTTGCCTTCAGTGTCTCTTGTAGCTTGGGAGGTCACGTCAGATGAGACTAACTGAGAACGTTTCCACCCTGCAACTTTGTTGGACAACAAGACATCGGTTACACTACAGTACTAGCAGTATGCACAGCGTACACCACGATCCAACTGCCTCTAGTCATCGTTGATGTTGTAGATCTCTCCAGGCTTCACAACCAAAGTCTCCGCCTGGTTGTCAGATGGCTCGTACGACCTCTTCAACACGAAGGCCACTTGCCAGTGGCCTCGCTTCCACAATTCGGTCTTTCCTGGCTCAATATCAAAGAATCCGAGACCCCCCGTATCAGCGTTGTCATTGGTGATGCGGGCAGAGATCATGTATTTGGTATTGTTGTAAATCCCAATCTGGGTCTCTGTGGCTGCCGATATATTCAGAATGATTATTAGGAACTGGCTGTAAACCTCTGAACGCACCTTTGACAGACATTGTGTGCAGTAGTAAAGAGATTTGGAACAAGTGTTCGATGCAGCGATAAAGATCCCTGGGGAATGAATCAGAAACGAGGACGAACGAAACCAGGCCTTGGACTCACTCAGAGTAATCGAAGGAGCGATGGGGAGCTACCTTCGAGACTCGTCGCGTATTTATACGCATGGACCTGAATGAATTCTTTCGGAGCTCACATTCAAAGCTCACATATTGCCCGAGTTATTGCCCAATGGGTTTTGGATGATCTTCTTAACATTACGGTTCAGATGATGATCAGAATCCGACGAAGCAACTGACCTTGGCAAAAGAGGGGTTCGGATGTGAAACGAATAGCACTGACAAGCAACTCGTTATCATTCTTGCTAGTGATTTATGTATGTAACATGCCTTTGGAGTAAATCATGATGCGGCCCATCAGGGGTTCCCAGCGCGAAGTCTGGCAGTTGAGTCAGATCCGAACATGGTGAATGGAAGCCTGACGGGGATTACTTCTCGAGCGTTGCTCGCACAGGTCCGAGATTGCTGGACAGTGTTACGAGCACATTTCGGGGTTGAAATCTAAGGATAATAATGTCGTATTTCCAGCCATGAGTCAGTTGCATCTGCTCGTTATGAAGTTGCAATTGACCCAGATGCAGTGTGCACAGGTCTCACGCAAGTAGCTGCCAGGATGGTACTCAACGTTCAACGTTCAACTTGGACCAAGGTGGTGAAATCGCGTGACGTAAGGTGATCGGTAGATCAACCAGGCTAGTTCGAGCTGTTCCTGAAAAAAACTTTGTGCCATGGGGAGCAAAGAGGTCCTCGGGCCCGGCCGAACTTTATTAAATGCCGAACGCTGACTCAAGCGTTCACTGGCTCCTTGGCAGCAGACTTACTCATGGGCAACTGAGGCTGCAGCTCCGACTTGAAATTCCTGTAAGCTATTGAGTGCAGTTGACTCATGGCTAGAAACACGACATTATAGTCCTTGTATTTCAACTTCGAAATGTGCTCGTAACATTGTCCAGCATCCTCGAGCTTGAACCTGTGCGAGTGCCACTCAGGTTGTAAGCATGGCTCGAGACGTAATCCCCGTCAGGCTTCCATTCACCATGTTCGGATCTGACTTGCAACTCCCAGACTTCGCGCTAGGAACCCCTGATGGGCCGCATCATGATTTACTCCAAAGGTATGTTACATACATAAATCACGATGATAGCAAGAATGTCTTGTTGTACAATAAAGTTGCAAAGTGGAATCAATATGTGTACTTGTCAATCGATGATCGCCCGCGTTTTGTATATTATATGAAAAGTCAGGGGGCCCGTACATGCGCATGTCCGCCGGAACGAAGTCCTTGCACAGCTGGCCAGGCCTTATACATGTGGTTTATTCGATGGCAAACCTCTTCAACGTCAAACCCCTTTCAATAAATACATGGGTTGCATTGGGCCTGAGTGGGCTCGGAAGACGGTAATTGCACATTCTTGAACTGCACTTTGTTTTCTGTCTATTTTGTACGAGTATCGGCAAATAAGACACTGAGAACCAGTATTGAAAGCTATTTGCGTATGCTGGCCAGTACTACTATTCCACGACCTATAGCTGAGTAGTACTCAGGGACTGGCTCATACCATCTCATATCATGAACAGTGAACCAAGCTGAAAAGTAGATGAAGCCCAGATCTACAGATCTCGCTGAAGAACTCAAATCCTATATTCTGAACTTCCTTAGGACCTTACCAAGATATTCTGCGCTGTACATCCGTGAGTGTTGATCGATCATCGATCCTTTAATATTGAAGTACCTGCATTCGCGCTGCCTCCGAGTACCGATGAGTCACGCTCACATATACGTGCCTCGATTCTCGAATTCATGGACATGTTCATCCCTACGAATAGGTGCACTACAGCGTAAATGTTCTAGTTCTGGAGTCTGCCTATGTACATCTTTCGTGGTCGTGCAAATTCAGTATCAGTGTGATTACATAGAAGTTTGAATTCTTGCGCGACTGACGCACAATTGAACTTCATGATGTCGACGCCGTTGATTTTCTGCAGGACATAGAACTCAACTGCGGACAGCGTTCCTGGATATGACGTTGACGGGTAGTCGCAATTTTTGAGTTGGTTGATTCAATCTGTTTTTCCAAAACACCAATGTTGCACAAGAACCCATATAAATTATAATCCTACATCTGACCGTCTTTGAGTAACATCCACCACTGATCCGATAACAAACACATATCCCTCGCGAAAACTCCACGAAGGAGGAACAAGGAAAAAATTCACAACAACCAGCCCAAGAGTAGTCTGAATCGAGTTTCACGATCCACAAAAGATACGTGAGCCACGAAGTGAACTCAAGGACGAACCAGTCCCATAGGAGTCGCGCCTCGTACGCAACGAGGTGGTTGGCCTCATGCCTCGAGGGATTACCCTCTTCCGACAGTTCATGATGACCCCGTAACCAGCCTGCAACAGGCTTGGTCCACTTTGCGGGAGCGACACTACATTGTCGACACAACGCTAGTCATCATGAGCGCCTTCTTCACAGACGCATGCACGATAGCGACGACTGAGACAAGTTCGCCCGATCCCCGCAGCGTTTTCAAAGTTTTCGTTCTCGCCCTCTTCTGTGATAACAGAGTCTTCGGGACGATGAGAAACGAAGCTGCTTTTCTGGTATGCCACGCAGCTGGTTAGAGCTGGGCTCTGCTGGAGCCGATCGAGGGGGATTGGAATGCTCAGACCTTAGCCCGCTCAGGAATTTGGATGCGTGGAGCGATCCTGTATGTGATGAGCATTCGTGGCTTTCGAGCTGGTTGAAAGAAGGAATAGGTTTCGAAGTCCGCTTGGCGCTTTATAAATTTATTCCTCTCCGAGGATTGCGTGATTTAGTACGTCTTTTTCAGCCTCAGACCCTCATGCACACGAGTCATGATATGGCATGACCGGTGACCGTCGACTCAAAATCATCCATGAACCTCCCTTCATGTGAAGTTTTAGGTGACACAAGTTCCTCGGGAGTCTGGTATGCTAACGAGGGTTGATGTGCTTTTATCGTTTCGTCTTATAATCGAGGTGCATCCTGTCGTGTAATATGTATGCGAAGTACATATTTACCTTTCCGACAGTCCACAGTGAGAATCAATGGCAATTCTCTAAATGCTAGGAAGCATGCACAATGAACTTGGGGGCTTAGATTGAGATTCGACGATTTTGCATTTGCGACAGCACCTGTCTACCCAAGCACGGACGTCCCTCTGATTATGTATCATATCCCAGCCCACTCATGATTCTACATATGTTCTTGCCAGTCACGCCCGAGTTGGACGAACTAAATACATCGGATGACACGGTGTGCAGGTAGAGGCTCCCGCTTAGGAGGAAAAGACGTCGGGGCCCGGTTTCTTGCAGCTGATATGCTGCCTAGGCCTTTGATTATCGTTTCTTTGCTTATCCCGACTCTGGCTACAAGTCGCAGTGACGCTTGCATAATTTTCTTCGCCAGCTATTCCCGAGCATAGATGCAGGCGACACAGACACCGCACTCGTCGCTCGAAGTAGGCGTCAATGTAGAAGCTGAAGTATGTGTGGCCGATGGGATAATCACCGTGCGGCGTGCGCCACCAGATGAGATCTACGGCAGAAATGAGTGCGCGCTCAGACTAGCTGTAATAGCGACTAGGTGAGATCAAACCGTTCAAGCCATCAGTAAGCGCACCCACCTTGATCCTGTAGAATATTTATCACATTGTCGCCATAATAATCAAAGCTTGCTCTCCAAAAGGTCAAAGGTTGTGGTGGCATAGGATGCATTATCGCTCGCAGTTGAAATGGTGTCACCTAGAAGCTCCGCGAAGCTTGTGAAAGACAAGAATAGAGTACACGCCACCTTTGAGCTAGGTGATGTTTGATCACTTTAAAAGACGTCGAATGGACGGACTTACGAGGTAAAGGTAGCCTAAGTAGACGACGAACGTTCGATCTCGGGGTGCTTCTTGTGAATTCCTTGACCTTCCTTAAGAAGAGCTATTTTCGCCACTACAGCCTCGATGTTCGCACACCGGGAAGAAAGCAGGTTGATAGTCACCGTTAGTGGCACACTAGCCCAGACCATGATCAGTCGCCGTTGCCAGTCTGTAGGAATGAAATGTGATGACGACGTGGATCGTGTGCTCATCGGTCCCTTTGTCTTCCGAATCAAGATGTCGCTGGTAGCCTAAGTTCTAATTACAATCGTTAAGCTCAACCCGGTGAAGGATATCAAACAGGACCACGAACCATGAGTGAAGTAAACGCAAGTGGAGGGTTCGCAGTATATAGATTTAATGATAGTGCCAGTATCATTTTGACTCAACTTCGACGGACGAGTAGATACCTGCAGGATGTGGAAGGACTCCAAGACTTTGAATATTTCGCGCTGATGACTTGAGGTAGAGAATTTCAGCAAACGAATAGCAAGCTCTACAATGAGCATCCTACCTTCGAGATCGGCCCATCAAGCTGTTAATGAAGAGACGTTGAAGAAAATGATGAACAAACAACACAGATTGAGGGTGAGCCGAGTGGAAGGCGCTGGAGAATTGTCGTGAACCGGTCGCTTTGTCGATCCGCTTGAGCAGTGAGACCAAATAAAGTCGGACGAGACGTGGACTCATCGATAAGGAGAGAGGGGGGATGGCTAAGGGCGTGGGCCACCTTCGAGGATGAAGACGGGGAATTGAGATGTCTTAGTATTAAGACTCTTTTCTGGTGTTCCCGGCAAGATGGATGTATGTGTCATATATAAGCGAAGGTAATGGAGAGGGGAGGGAAATATGTCCCGCGTGCGGTCGGTTTGGCCTTCCTGTGTCTGTGATCTTCCATGAACTCAATAATATGTTGTGGTATGAGTGGGTGAGGAATCGCTTGCCTTTTCCTGTTCTCAGTTTGAATCGCCGTCTTACATTGTGTTCCGATGTTTTGCGTTCACAGGACCTTCGGTCTTCTAAAGAAGCATCCGTTCTCTCCGCCGCTGCGGTATGCGATCCAGTGTGGCTTTCCGCATTACCTATGTGCTATGAAAGTAATCTGAACTGTTTAACTGTTCCTGTCCTGCGTGATGCTGCCCAGCGCATTAGATATAAGCGTTCTGAGGCACGACTAGAGGCAAGCAGTGTCCTTTGCGAGTTCGTCTGATGAGGTGTTCACCCGGCATTTCTCAATGCGCCTTCCCATTACATCTCTCCAAACTTGCGCTACGTTGATCGCAGCGAACGTTCACATTGCTTATGGTTGCGATGTTACAGCTGCACTCTGCCGCTGTCCTCTGACATTAGTGTCCTCTCTCACTCCTATTTCTCCACCCTCACGTACAACTGACCTTCACCAGCATCATGAGAAAGAAGAGAAACAGGCAGGCAGAGTCGGGGACTGGCCGCTGCTACAATGATAATAACGTGTCAGAAA